TGTCTATGCTTTGCTCTTCTTCCCAAACGGGAACGAACTAAGTTAACATCTCGAACTGCGAAATGTGCTTTTATGGGCTATAGTGACGTTCATAAAGGGTATATGTGTTATGATCCTATAGCTCTGCGTATTCGTGTTTCTAGTACTGTGGTATTATTTGAACATATGAGGTTTTTTTATCCTAAGTCTGTTTCCGAGTCAATATTTCCCTTGTCCAATGTATTATTGCCCACGTTCCCTGATGATGCCGAGCTTGCTGATGATCATTTCCTTGATCTCCCTCCTACCGATTTCAACTCCCCAGGCTCCTCGTCTGTTCCTCCACCCTCAGAGGCTTCTGATTCTACATCCAGCTTGGCTGGGAACTCCTTGTTTAGTGTTAAGGTACAATCCAAGTACCACATCGGAAATACAAGGGAAGGAACCCTTTGTATATAAGTGTCCACCTAGCCCAATTAGTACGAGGCCTTTTGGGGAGGACACCCAAGAGTAAAGTCGTGCGGGCTTGGCCCAAAGCGGACAATATCGTACTAATTGAGCACCCCAGTTTGACAAGTGGTATCAGAGCCTTTGGTTGCGGTTTTCGGAATTTGGCGCTGGACTGAAGTTTTGCTTCGTGGAGTTTGTTTGATAGTAAGAATGGCTGCTATCAGTATGAAGATTGATAAGTTTACAGGAAGAAACAGTTTTAGTTTGTGGTAGATCAAAATGCAAGCACTATTGAAACAACAGGGTTTGTGGGCTCCGTTGTCTGGAAAACTTGTCGAAATCGGGCCGCTGAATTAGTACGATATTGTCCGCTTTGGGCCAAGCCCGCACGGATTTACTCTTGGGTGTCCTCCCCAAAAGGCCTCGTACTAATGAGCTTGGTGGACACTTATATACAAGGATTCCTTTCCTTGTATTACCGATGTGGTACTTGGATTGTCCCATAACAATCCTCCCCTCAAGCCAAGGACCACGAACTTCGTGTCCTCACCTCGGCGATTTTCTTGATCCGCCAGATGCCTTGTACGATGGGCTTCTCGATACAAGGACTTTACCACACGCAGAACTCTCTTTGATCTGCTTCCCAAATGCGAAACTCTCTTTGATCCGCCAAGCCCAAACGTGGATCTCTCCACCAGACAAACGCGGACCTCCCTCGATCCGCCAGATGAGCCCAAACATGAATCTCTCGTGGATTCACCAAACCAGACGCAGATCGCAAATCCCGAGGCCACCGAATGAGGGTCCACCAAACTGACGTCACCGCACTGCACCGAATCAGGCTCTGATACCAGTTGTCAAACCGGGGTGCTCAATTAGTACGATATTGTCCGCTTTGGGCCAAGCCCGCACGGTTTTAATCTTGGGTGTCCTCCCCAAAAGGCCTCGTACTAATTGGGCTAGGTGGACACTTACATACAAGGGTTCCTTCCCTTGTATTTTCGTTCGTGTTGGTTTGGATTCTCGATTGGCACGCTTCTGTTCTGACAAGTGGTATCAGAGCCTGATTCGGTGCAGTGCGGTGGACGTCAGTTTGGTGGACCCTCATTCGGTGGCCTCGGGATTTGTGATCTGCGTCTGGTTTGGTGGATCCACGAGAGATTCATGTTTGGGCTCATCTGGCGGATCGAGGGAGGTCCGTTTCTGTCTGGTGGATCTAGGAGAGATCCACATCTGTTTGGCGGATCAAAGATACTTCCGCATCTGAGAAAATCCTTGTACCGAGAAGCCCATCGATACAAGGTGTCTGGCGGATCAAGATAATCGCTGAGGTGAGGACACGATGTTCGTGGTCCTTGGCTTGAGGGGAGGATTGTTAAGGTACAATCCAAGTACCACATCGGAAATACAAGGGAAGGAACCCTTGTATATAAGTGTCCACCTAGCCCAATTAGTACGAGGCCTTTTGGGGAGGACACCCAAGAGTAAAACCGTGCGGGCTTGGCCCAAAGCGGACAATATCGTACTAATTGAGCACCCCGATTTGACATCTAGCATTGCATCCCCACCTACTGCTTCCTCTGCTCCCTCTACAGCACCACCTCGCCGCTCTCTTCGCTCTACAAAAGGGGTTCCACCACCCCATTTTGGTTATTATCATGCATACGGAGTTGATACATTGGTCGTTCCCACTCGCTATAAGGATGCTCAGGTTGATCCCAGGTGGGAGTAGGCGATGGGGAGTGAATTTGATGCTCTCCATGCGAATCAAACCTGGGATGTTGTTGATCGTCCTGCTCCGGATACTCCAACGATTGGCAGTCGGTGTGTGTATACGATTAAAATGCACCCTGATGGCACTATTGAATGCTTCAGGGCCAGAGTTGTAGCTTTGGGGTATACTCAGGAGCACAGGTGGATTATAATGAGACATTTGCTCTTGTAGCTCGTATGTCGACTGTTCTCACTCTTCTGGCTTAGCATCTATGAAGAATTGGACATTGTCTCAACTAGATGTGAAAAATGCTTTCCTGCATGATGATCTGGATGAGGTGACCTACATGGAAAAACCTCTAGGGTATAATGTTGGAAATCTAAGACAGGTATGCAAACTTCACCGATCTCTATATGGCTTGAAACAGGCACCTCGGGCTTGGTTTGAGAATTTTCAGGGCACTCTGTTAGGTTTTGGCTATTGCCAAAGTCTTAATGATCCTTCACTATTTATCAAGATCACCTCTCGTGGTATTGTTCTTCTCTTGTTGTATGTAGATGATATGATCATTACATGATCATATTCTGAAGGCATACGGCTGCTTAAAGATGGGTTACAGGCAGCCTTTCGAATTAAAGACTTGGGTGAGCTTTCTTACTTCCTAGGGCTCGAAGTCTCACGTTCTGCAGAAGGAATCTTTCTATGTCAGAGGAAGTATATCAAAGATCTATTGGGTGACTACGACATGGAAGACTGTGCACCGGTAAATATTTCGATGGAACTTAATCTGAAATTAAGCAAGGAGTCAGGGGAAAAGGTAAAGGATGGTTCACAGTATCGAAGTATTGTAGGTAGTTTGATATACTTTTCGGCAACTCGCCCAGATATCTCTTATGCAGTGCAGCCGGTTAGTCAATTTATGGCAGATCCTCGGACTGAACATTTAGCTGTTGTTTATCGTATACTGAGATACTTGCGTGGAACCCAGGAGCTAGGACTCATGATTCCATCGTCTGGGAAGGCTACTCTGCGAACCTATTCAGACTTTGATTATGCAGGTTGTGTTGATACTCAGTGATCTACTACGGGATGGTGTGTTCAGCTCGGGAATTCATTTATATCATGGAGGTGTAAGAAAAAGGACAAGGTGTCCAAATCCTCCACAGAAGCTGAATACCGGGAAATTTCGGATGTCACTTCTGAACTGACTTGGCTGGGACGCTTATTGCGCGATATGGGAGTTGAAATTACAGGACCGATGGATCTTTTTGTTGACAATACGAGTGCCATCCGTATAGCAGAAAATCTGGTTCTGCATGATCGAACCAAGCATATAGAAGTACATGTGCACTATGTACGAGATGAAGTCAGGGATGGCACAATTGCACTACACTACCTTAGAACTGAAGATCAGGTGGCTGATATGCTTACGAAGACCTTTTCTACGAGCCGACATCGTTTGCTGTCTGACAAATTGATGCTTGTGACCCGGCATCAATTTGGGGGAGGCAATTGATTATTATCATTGAATGTCATTTTGTAAATAATGTTGTGTTAGTGCATGCAAATGGGCCAATTATACTGAAGGCTTATTTAGTAGCCCATGCAGCCCAATCACCTGAGGCTCTGTAGAAGACGTGTGTGTGTGCTAGGTTATGGGTGGTAGCCGGATATAGGAGCAGCCATGATCATCTGTATCTTTCACTGAAAATCATAGTAACATCAGTAGCTGAAGAGCGATCTTGCTCTTCCGTGGATTAGTCCTGGGATTCCAGAGATACCACGTAAACTCTGTGTGCGACTCCATTTCCATTTCCGTTTCTGTTTCGATATTTGTTTAGTCAATAATCTTTGCCCATTATCATTGATAACGGAGGCGGAGATGGCGGTGGTATCAGCAAAATCTGGATTGTGAACGTTGAGATTGAAGAACAGAGTAGTAGCAGTAATAGTAGCTAAGAAGATGCAGAAAGAAATTAAGGAGGGGAGCAAAACGACGACGTTCCATTTTTCTCAAGCCCACTTAAATAGGGCTGGGAAACGGTGCGGTCTGGTCCAGACCAGACCATATATACGGTCTACGGTCCAGACCGAGAGGCTAAAGTATAGACCACAGACCAGACCACAGACCAGACGGTCTGGTCCAGACCACGCCTGTGCGGTCTGGTTCGGTCTGGTCTGGTCCAGATAGACCACACTCAACGAAAAATGAATAATTTGTTTAGTCAACCACACAAAAAATTGAACCAATAACCTAGAAAAATAATCGTTATTTGCCTTAAAACATTAATCCTAACATGCATGAATAATTTTGATACTCTAAATCTTAGTACATAACAAAGATACAAAGTAAAAGCATCCCAGCTTGCACCATAATGTCATAAATATTAACATAATGTCATATGGAGACACGATTATCTCTACTCTGTGGTTAAATGTGGCTGTGAATGAAGGAGGGAAGAGATTCACAAAATTAAGGTTGAGACTTGGGTGTCGTTGTGGGAGTTTGGAGAGTGGTCGAATGGGCTGTTAACACGTATTGACAAGTCAGTTGGGTCTACGGTTTGGTCCGGTAAACCGCGGTCTAGACCAGACCAGACCAAGAGATCAAATCATAAAATAATGCAGACCATGGACCAGACCAGACCATACTTCACGGTCTACGGTCCGGACCAAACTGTGCGGTACGGTTTGGACCACGGTTTTTCTAACGGTCTGGTCTATTTTCCCAGCCCTACACTTAAACCGTCGTCTCGGTGGCGATCTGTTGTAAAGGGATTTCGGTGACCTGGTCCAACGATTATTGTCCCGATCAGAATTGCCTCAGCCGCCCCGTTCCCGTGCCTACTCTACGTCTTCAATCTTCACGGTTTGCTGAGTTGGTAGCTGATATTGAATGCACTCCTCACATGTCACAGGCAAGGCAACTCTCCGTGTCGGCAGTGGGAACGATAATGGCGGCCTGGTGGGTTCGTTACTCAGTTAAAGTTGCAATTCTTCTCCAACTCTTCTCCTCCTTGTCAATTTTCAGAGTCCCATGTACAGAAAAGCACGGTCATTTTGACCCTATTTTCGCCATTCCCAGTTACAGAGAACAATGAAGGTTTCAAATTTCACCTCTCTCTTCTCATCCCTTCCCCGTTTCCCCTCTTAGTCTCTTACCTCGTAAAGTTTGTAACTTTCCATCTTCTTTTTTCTTGTACAGCAGCCTCTGCGAGTGGGTATATGGTGGTTTTGGTTATATGGGTCCTTGCTTATTGTTCTCTCCATATATGCTACCCGCAAGCTACGTACCTTCACTTCAGGATGCGATCACTAAGACCCGGTTTTAATTCGGATAGGACTCGATGGATTTACACAATCCAAAGATCACTGTATTCTCTGCTACTACCTCCATTGGTCCAAAACAAAGCCTTGCTATTCGTTCATGGCTTGGTTTGTCTCCTCAAATTACAGTTGTTCTGTTTAGCCAACACCCTTCTATTCGTTCTTTCGCCTCGGGGTTTGGCCCACGAGTTTTAGTTGATTCCGCCATTGATTTCACGTAAGCTATCATTTCAAACTATGCTTCCTTTTTTCCTGAAATTGGAAGTGCTAGTAATTTGCTTATCTGGGCAACATGTTTGTTGCTTGGTGCTTCTTTGAAAGGTTCCTTGGGACGCCATTCTTTCATTCCATGGTGGAAAGATCACACGCATTCGATACAGATATTATTGTCTTTGTAGATTCACAAACCGTTCTTCTGCCTGATCTTGTTCCCACGTTGAGTTTTGCTCACAAGCTCGACCGTAACTGGCTTCTTGCGGCTTCATTACAAGACACTTCATTCTTCCCATTCAAACTGGGTGGTGACGGCCAACATTGGCTTAGAGAAAATGGCAGAAGGTTGGAACTTGATGAGGTATGAATTCAAAGATACTAGTTCAGACAGAAAACTGGAAACACCCTTGAATCAGCATGCTGACACCACTCTTAATTCCTTATAGTTGCAGGAGTTGCTTGGCCAGAATCGGCATTGTGAAGATAGGAGTATGCTTATGGCTTGGAACTCACGAAATGTTCCTTTACAAAATGGAGTCCTTCCCCCTTTCTTGTTTGGTAAGGGGATTCACAACCACTGGCGTGTTAATGAGGTTGTGGCTTCCGAACTGAGATTTGATTGCAGTTGATTTAGCTACAATTTTGACAGTTTCAATCTTGCTTCAACTTACTTCATTTGGCATTCTCCTTTGTCAAAATACTGTTTGCCATATGTACCTGAACTGTAAAACTGTTGTTCTTCTGCAAGGGTTTGCCTGTTTTCCATGATCCATCGGCACCAAGTAACATCAGCTTCAATGATTGCCACTTCGGAACAAAATGCTTCCAGAAGGTCACAAAAGTAAAATCCAGAATTGTTCTGCAGATACTGAAGATGGGTTACAATGTACTTCTCAGTGATGTAGATGTCTACTGGTTCGAGAACCCACTTCAATATGTTCGCTCATTCGGTCCGACCACCCTTGTTGCTCAGTCAGACGAATACAACCAAACAGGACCTATAAACTTGCCTAGACGTCTGAACTCTGGCTTCTACTTTGCTCGTTCTAATGCTCCAACTATTGCTGCTATCGAAAAGGTAGTGAATCATGCATCCACATCAACCCTTTCTGAGCAGCCAAGCTTCTATGATATGCTGTCTGGAACCGGTAACAAACGTGACTGTTCATTTCTTGGACAGAAACCTCTTCCCCAATGGTGCATACTTAGACCTTTGGGAGAAGCCCAACGTGAGAGAAGCTTGCATGAATAAAAGCTGCTTTGTTCTTCCCAACAACTGGATCAATGGAAGGTTGAAGAAGCTTGAGCGCCAAGTTTTGTCAGGCATGTGGGAGTATGATAGTAGCAAGAGAATGTGTTTGTCTTGCATCACTCCAAAATTCCAGCACCTCATGAAAAGTTGTCCCTGTCCAAAAGAAAGCGTGGCTTCGCAAACTCCTTTCCTATCCATTGAACTTTGAAATCCACGCCTGGGGGAACAAGACAAAGATCAGGTTTCTTGTTGTTGGTCGTTGAATCCCAAGGCTATAGCTTGATTTCATCAAATCTCATTCTTCTAGTGATATTCACCTTCTTATTGGATAATAATATGTTCAATTAGTAGACGTATTCGAACTGGGGGATTGCAGGCTGGCAGAAATGGTAACGGGTTATTGTTGCTTGCTGGACAGTGGGAAAAAGTCCAGAAGAAGAAAGCATGAGCTAACAACAGAGGAATTAACAGGCGGTGGAGTTTCAGTTTCATTAGAATTCAGTGCCAACTCCAATGACGTTTCTGTGAGGATAGTTCATCCAGGGGGGAAAGAGGAGAGTTTCCAGTATGCTCTTTCAGCACAGCAAGTCATGGAGAAGTACCCAGGGACTCATGTCGCCAGGCAAGATGTTTTCCAGAATCCTGAAGATTCCATTCTGTGGCCAGAAGAGAATCTGTTGCCTGGCAACAAGTACCTGATCATTCCATCAACCACAGCCGAGAAACTGAAGCATCACAGAAAACATCATCGTCATCATGGGACGACGACAAAAGAAAGGTTGGAACTTTGTGACACTAAAGACACCAGATCTGGTGCGAACATAACTTGGGATGAACAAGATATTTCGGAGGAGGAGAATGTCTGTCGTGCAAGAGATTTCTATGCTTCAAAGGATATGTGGTCGAGGTGTTCGGAGAGGAAGACAAGGAACGTGAGGTCTAGAAAAAGACAACCTTTCATCCCTCCTCTTCCGAGGTCGAGGAGTTTCAAAGGTTTGAGCTGGGAGCCTAGTCTTACTTCTGTACAGGAGCTCTCTCCATGAATGAACTTCTGACTGGTTTTCTTGTACAAATAATAATATATGTATATATATATGTATAAAAAAAAGAAACAGAACGACTGATGTATTCCTGGTATGTTGTCTTCCTCTTTTCCCAGGCTCTTGTCTATCACTACTTTTCAATCATCTCTCTATTTTTGCTGTTTCTTCAATGCAGATTTTGATTTTCTTTTGTTCTCAATGTGAAAAGAATCAGTCTCTGCTGATGATGTGCAGAACCAGCTGCAATAACTTTGACGATATGACATTTTGTGATTTATAATTTTTGAAGTTCCTTGGAGTACAATCTTATGTCTCTTCTTTGTGTTTTTTGCATAGGTATCTTCAGGCATTGAAATACTACTAACTCAAAGCTATTAAAATCACAATCCAAATCTTTAAACTTTCAATTTTACGATTCCAGGGGCAACTAGAAATACTGTTTAGATCCGCGTAAAATAAGCTCCAGCTTCTACAGCAATGGCAGCATCTCTAGCTGATGTCATCCCACACATTTTAAGCAAATGGTCCACTCTTATAGTCACGTTCTTGCCTAGTGGATGCTTTCTTTAACGAGACAGACAAGCAGGTTAACTCTATTCCTTGTGCAAGAGCAAGACTTTATTCTCAGCAAGTTCAGTAGTTTCCAAACCTTTAGGCTTGCACAAGTTCAAATACCCACTTTACGAAGTTCATTGCATATTTTGCACATACATCAACTTACAAATTCCCCAGGAAGTAAAATCTACCAGAAGCATAATTCGTTTGCAAGTTGACGAAACTGGGTTGTAAGTAACTTAATATATCCATTCCAATTTCCAACGACAGAAGGAAATGGTGAATAGTATGCGTCAACCGATGCGCCACTCTAAAATGTCTGTTAGCATCAACTTGTTATCTACATCGGGCACAAGAAATCTCAATACTTGCACATGAAAGCTTTGATCTTTATAGTGAACTAGAATCAATACCCGCGCCTACGCCGCGAGAACTAAACAACTTGTAACAGCATGATTCAAAGAACTAAACTTGTAGAATCCAAATGAGCAAACTCCACTTAGCTGACTGAAGTGAAATATGTTATCAAGTAACATTATAACTTAGCAATATAAGAAAACACAATATATAAAACAAATGTTTCGACATCTTTAAATATGAGGCAGGGTCTTAATGGGTCTCAATTCCGAAGCCAAGTGGATTCCATATGGTGATGGACTAAAACACGGAATTACCAATCTTTGTGTCTTGTACAGTTCCAATTTCGACGGTAAACATCTTTCCTATGACATAGTTGATGCATGCATTTGTAGCGGTGCTAGTGAGGGCCAAGTATTCCTTAGCTGATTGCTACAACAGCGAGGTAGCGACATTCTCCTCGGTTCTAACTTCCTTTAGCCTATCACCGGTGAATAACTTCATATCTTCAGCTACTCTCTCCGCAGTTCTGAAGAGCTTGAGCCAGTGGGATGTTTGTGACATCACAATGCGAGTTGCAGAAGTGTTCATGCATCAAAATTCCATGCAAATAAAGCGTTGAGGGTAAGGAAAAGAGCGGCAAAGCTCGGGTAGAAAACTTTCATCAAACTTGAAGTTGGTCATGAAGGTAAGTCACCCTAAACTGCAGACCCACTACTACTACAACTTCTACGGAACAATCAGCAGCAAACCCATCCAAAATATTCGAAGAGAAGCAGTTCAAGTATACCAATCAAAGTGTTGTACGGAAACACCCGCTCAAATCCTACTTAGCATGATTGATTAGGACTAATCAGCTTTGTAAGAAATGAGAAAGGACAATGGAAGAAATCGCTGAACCGAAGAAACCCTTTAAACCCAACCTGTGAACTCACTAACCCATCTAAACAACTCTTGCCATGTATCATACTTAGCCAAACAAACTCAAGAAGGGAATTTCTACTAAGCATGTCATATACTTATCCCACGAATCATAATGAAAGACATTAACATAAGCCATTTATGCGTGTTACATGTCATAGGAGTTTATGTTTGCAACTGGTTAATTTGTACGTGGAAAGGCACCAAATGAATTCCAATATGACCTTAAATAGAAAGAAATCGGAAAAGTGGTACCGTTATCATTCAAAAGGTTCTCACATTGATGAGCTTGGGAAAGAAACGAAGGATTGGCAACAGTAACTTGCTTAGGCCAGCTGAATAGAATTTCATTAAAGACATGAAGTGTAAATAAACAAAGAAAATGAGGGAAATGTACCACTTTAAATGGAGGGATGAGACAGGTGAATGTCAAAATCACTACTTGCGGCTCCACCCATTTGAATGAGTTCAGGAAGGGGCAGCTTGTCTGCAAACTCCGCCCATAACGTGATTAAGAGTGAGGCATTGCTGCGACCGGTATAGAGTACATCAGGTAGTGGTACACGTAAAACAGAGAAGCAGCAGAAACATAACACAAAGGCAACTCACCATTCATTTTCGATGATACCAGTCTGCTTCTTGATGGAACGTTCCTTTTTTACGGAAATAGCTGACAACGGGGATATAAAGCCACGAGAACTAAAGCTCATGGGATGGTTTCTTCTTTAACAATCAATGTACTTCAACCTGTGAAAGCAATGGTGGTAAATACAGTTAGTATCATGTGGAGGGTGAAAGGTCCACAGATGAGAGGGGAAGGAAACAAACATGTGAATCACAATCGATTTAAAGAAAGGTTCTAAAACTTTGAGCAACAAATTTAACTGGCATAATGTGGTCAGCTAGCAAGTTAAATGAACATTGCAGAAGCAGCATCACAGCAGCAGACAAAAAAGTGCAGCATCTCAAAAAAATATTAAAATTTTTGGAAGAGAAGGATTCTGACAGTAAAAGCACAGCTTTAGAAACATGCATGTGAAAGCAAGCAGTATGTCTGTGTAACTCGTGATTTTGAGCCCTTAGTAGCATTCTTTTGTGCTAACAATAAAATAGTTTCTTGACTCATCATTGAGTGCAACATCACCGTACCAACAATTGTTACAACGTCATTGACTACCTCCTATACGTAAACCAAATGAAATAATAAGAACATCTTTATGCACAAACTTCAATTGAATTAAGCAGAGCACAGAGGAAAACAGAAACTGTATTCATCCAGCAAATTTGAAGAAAGAACATGTACATGAGTCATGACAACCCTGGAAGCAATGAATGCGCATATAAATATTATCTTTAGTTGAGCTCGGATAAGGAAACTCAATTTCTAGACAGACATAAGCTCACAACAGTCGAATAAGACAGAGACCGAAGAACATAATGAAAGGAAGGTAAAGCTCGATAAGTTTGTTACCCAAATTTGTTGGTTCCCTAGCGTATGAAACCCATCTGCAAAAAAGAAACAATTAAAGTGATAAATCAGGGCTCACAAACAACAAACAGAACGATAATAACACAAACAAAGGGAGATTAGAAAGCAAAGCATACATTCAATTTGGTCTTCTCTGAGCCGAAGCGAACAGGAACAAATTGAGAATTTTAGAACAACAAAGAACAGATTGAAGAACAAAACAGAAATATTAAAGTGATTTTCAGTAGTAACTCAGATTTGGTTGTTTTCAGTCTCAAGTGGCAATTTTGTCACCTTCTTGCCCCCTCTTACATCATCTCTTATTAGCATTGCCCATCTGGTAATCCCACATTATCAGGTTCATAGCTCTACCCCTCTTACAGATCAAAACTTGTGAGTGTTTTCAGTTAGAAATGTATGTTCTAAAGTCCTTCTAGCTCTTTACTCTTTGATTTTTGCTGATCCCTTCCTAACCTGAAAATGGCATGCCGTTCATGGTGAATGGGAACCTGATCTCAATGGCACCTGCCTCCCTAAAACAGTTTTTGTGATTCTGCAGGCATTGTCAATTATGTTTGTTGCTGCTTTTCCATGGTCAGCTTGTGCCTGCAACAGTAAAATCAAGAAAAGTGAGAAGCAAGTTCAATTTTTTGTGGTTGCAGTAGGAGGAAGATCAACCGGTGAACAAAAGGAAAAAGAGAGCTCATCACCGTCGCCCTACTTTTCCCTGGCCAAGGAGTCATGTCCATTCCAGCTTTAGCGGCAATTAAACTTAAACTGCATACCTCTCATTAGGGGTGGCAGCCGGTCGGTTTCGGTTAAACCGAAAACCGAAATCTCGATTTTCGGTTAAACCGAGACATGACCAATGCCTACCGTCAACCGACCGTCCCATCGGCCCCGATTAGCCGCAAACCGACCGGTCGGTTTCGGTTTACGTGCGATTTAACCGGGGCAAGCCAAAATGACAGCCCTGCCCAAAACCCTCCCCCCAATTTAATCGGTTGTTCCTCTCCTCTTCCACCTGATCTTCTTCTCCTTCTCCTTTTCTTCTTCTCCTCTCTTCCTTCCTCTCTGCTACCCATAAAACACAGAACAACAATGGCGTTCTCCTTAACCCTACACCACTGGAACCCGTCCCAACGTCCAACAGATCCACCAACACCCCAATTCCAGAGACCCGGCCGAATTTCGCCTCGCTCTCCTCGCACCCGGCGATCTGAGCGATCACCGTCGTCGCATCCTCAACGATCCCGACCCTCCGTCCTTGAGCACTAGCGAGAATAGCGGCAGGACGACTCCGATCCGTCAATTCAGATGGTACAGAGTGATGCCGAACAGGGCCTTGAGCGCGTCCTTGATCGACCGCGGCGGCGATTTCGGGGCGATGTCCCTTTTGGATCCGATGATGGGGCGGTAGGAGTCGACGACGAGCAGGCTGTGGAGCGTGGCGGCGGCGGACTGGACGGCGGTGGGGTCGGCCAAGGGCGTGGGTAGGCGGCGGGGCGCAGGAGAGGCGGCGGGGCGCAGGGGAGTCGGTTGGGGGTTGAGGAGAATGAAGGAGACAGCTAGGGTTTGAGGGGGATGGGTGTGTTTAAGTGTAGGGGAAAACGACGCCGTTTCATCTCGGTCGGTTACCGTCGGTTAACCGGCTTCGGTTCATCGGCTAACCGCGCCACCACTGACCCATTCCGCGAAC